TCTCAGCGAGGGAGATAACAGTAGACAAGACAAATCGGAAACCGTGTGGTATGTTAACTAGAAACACGGAGCAGGGAAGGCATGGGGTGTGCATGTGTTGGTGCGTGTGGGCATTCGGGGCGAGACACCGATTGTAAGGGGTAGTCAGGATAGAATGGCTTTTTCCTACTTACGGCTGGCCAGGCCAGATGTAACAAACAATAAGGATATACATGTTTAGGATTAGAAAACGTTGCAAACTCTTAAGTACATAGAGTCTCGTAATTCTGCCTTTTCCCCCTGGGCTCATTTTGCTCCTAATCTGGAATGTCAGGTTTCATTGTCGTGTGAGGCCTTTTTATGAGTCAGTGGCATTTGTTAATGTGTGTGTTCAAGTGACAGTTGTGTTACTTGATTCTGAGGACACAGGGCTGGCTGGAATGCTAATAATGGAGAGGGAAGCTGGTCTTCCTGCCCAAGATCTAGTGCTGTGGTCCTGGAAACTCCAGGTAAAGCCACTGCCGAGGCTGCTGCTGTGTTGGCCCCAGGCTGGAAATTGCCGATTGATTATGTAAACCCAAACGGGGTGGGGGGTCAGGGGGGTGGTGTTTTCCTCAGCCAGCCTGTGGTCCTACGAGAGCCGAGCCCTCCGTTTAGATGTGGGGTCTGGGTAACTACTGCAGTTGCTCATGAAAGTGTAAAAAAGTTATTGATCAGCCTGCACTTGCAGTAAACAGTATTTTAGCACTGTCGAACCGCGCTATAATTTCTTGCGGAATTGTCTGTACCTTACCCGGTGCTGCCTCACTCACCCTGGTGTGCCCCCCCTGCTCCCCCACGTGCTGTGTGTGACGAGCACTCCGGAGCAAGTGCTCAGGAGACGCGGGAACGGTGGAGGATGCAGTAACTGTGCGTCGGCATTCAAAACGTGTGTAAAGCTGTGATTTGGCCACTGCGGATCAGGGCCGTGTTACCAGGAAGTACCGTTTTTGTTTTCAAAGAAAAAAGCTCATCAAAATCTTGTGGAACCTTACTTCCTTCTGTGTTTTAACTTCATTAACTGTACGACCTTGGGTAGGTGATTTCTGGAGGCTTTCCTTATCTAAAGTAAAAAACGAAGATGATACCTACTTCTCAAAGATGTGAGTTTCAGATATTTTAGATCAGAAGCAGAGTGTGTGCATGTACGCTTGCTGGCGTGGGCTGAATTCAGCACCGAGACTGTCGGTCGGGGCAGTAGGAAGGTCCCGCAGTCGGGTCTGTGTACCCGACCGTGAGCTCAGAGCAGGAAAGGGGAGAGCTCAGCAGTGACACATCTGAGAAGACTGAGGGCCGGCCTCCAGCAGGCTTCATAGGAATCAGTAACACAGCCTGACTGTGTTCCAGCAGCACTCGCTAATTATCGACTGATGGATTACCTACCATGTAATGGAAGTTTTAAATTCTTTTAACAGAAATCTAACACACAATTTCCCAAAGTGACTTCTGCAGAGAATCGCTTGATGTTACTAGTTGCTCTGGGCTCAGGGGTTGGTCTGGGGGCGGCGGGTTAGATCACTGAACATCTGTGTCGGAGAATTTCTTTGGTCTCGAGTTACTGTGAACAGTGGGTCTCCAAGAGGGGGCTCAGGACGACAGAGCTTTGGGAACAGATGGAACGGGGCTGCGGGTAGCTCAGCTGGTTTCTGGACACGTCACGCTGCCCCTGCGCCACTCTGCCCGCCTGGGCACTGCCCTTTGTCAGGTGTAGACCACAGGGCCAGTGTCCAGAGGAGAGCGGCCAGGATGGAGCCAGGTGTGATGCTGCTGTGGGAGGGGCACACGAAGGAGGTGGGGCTGTGTAGCCTGGGGGCGGGGCAGTTATGAGTAGGGTAGGGGTGAGGGTGAGGGTGATTGATAATATCTGAAGCAGATGAAAAGGTTTTGACCCTTCTGTCAAGGGGCAGAATGAGAGCCAGTGGGTGAAAGTGACTGGGAACCATGTTGGACCCAACCCAAGTAAAATGTTCTTTGAAGGTGGCAGATTTTACATGCTTACTCTGTGCGTTCTTAAAAGGCATAGTTGTGGGGTGGTGTGAAAGCGTTGGATGTTTTTGAAACGTGTTCTTTAAAATCCCATCCAATCTCAAGTCTATACAGTTGTGGGGGTTTTTTGTTGTGTGAAATTTACTTCCTCAGCTTTTTGTTTTTTTCAGCATTGTGCCCATTCTTGTGGATAATTAGAAAAAAGCATAAGATGGGGTTTGTGTCATTTATTAGTTGGGTGGCAAGACTGATGCGAGACAGCTGTTAGCAAACTAAGACAAAATGTAAACAAAAGGCCCATTTTGGATCATCTGTAAGAACCACAGAGATTGGAGAAGGGAGAGACCCAAGAAGTGTGTGCAGGGGTTTGAAGGGTTCATGGGGTTTGCGTGGCAGAAGCAGGCGCAGTGTGGGTAGACGTGCAGTTAAGGAACATCCACCCGGCAGCTTTGGTGAGAGAGAAAGGTTTGAGAGCTGTGCCCTTAGAGTAGTCATTTAAACCACTGGGGGGCTTGAAACCCTGAGAAGATTATGGCTAGAAAGTGGATAGAGGAAAGGCCTTAAAGCCCAGCGGTTAGAGCGTTGATTCAAATCCACTTTGCTGTTAGCCTACGTGGAGAAACTGAGGCCTAGAAGTTGACTGTAAATTGGATTGTTTACTTGCCTCTTAAGATAATTATGTAATTAAGTGCTCAATAAATGTTATTTACCATTACCTAGATTATGTAGCTGAAATTCCCTAGAACTGTGGTTCTGGAATTGTGGTCCTCAGACCAGCCACCTTGCATCACCTGCAAGCTGGTTCCAAACACAGTTCTTCGCCACCCTCCCTGACTCAGTGGATTAGTGTGGGGTGGGGGCGGGCTACGAAGCCCACCTGAAAAAAAGCTCTGTCGGGGAGAGAGGCAGGACAGAGTTAGAGAACTGCTTTAGACCAGTCCTGCATTTGGGATTCTAGAACTAAGAAAGGGAGAAATAAAAGAGGAGCTTGACTGCAGTGCCCTTTACAGTGCGGAAGCTGAAGAGCACAGAGAAGAAGATTGGGAAATCTGTGGGGAAGGAGGTGGCGTATTTTCTGCAGGAACTAACAGCTGTTACATGCTGTGTTCAACAAATACTTGTTTTTGTGTTATTGAAGGCTATCGTCCTAAGATGCGGGGAGTGGAAGGAGGATTTCAGGGCAGTTATATATAATATGTATAATGCGTACGTTCTGTAGCCCAAGCGATAACAGCACCACAGAACCACAGCAGAAATCTGATGTTGGGAGAAGTTGAAACCTTGTGTCTAACAGGTGTCCATGGACTGCCTACCACCTGTGTGTGACCAGGCAGTGCGCTACCTGCTGTAAATAGAACAGGAGGTGTAACTCTTGTTTTCAGAGGCTTCAGAGAATTGCACTTTTTAAAGGATTTGAAGTTTACCTCTTCCCATCACTTTTTCCAGCTACAGAACAAACACGGCCTGAGCTATTCTCTGCCAGTGCCAGAAGTTGAGCTCGGGGTTGCCTGGCGCGTCACGCACAGCCTGATTTGCAAGTGCCGCCTCACTTCTGAGCATCAGCCTCCTTTGTTTATTAGTTTACGACTCATGATATACCTTAGAGATGATTCGAAATCTTGTGAAACATTTCATGTCCCCCTTCAACGGGGGCCACCTGGGGTCTTCGATACTGAGGTTGTGCCAGTGGGTGGGTCCCAGTTTCCACCCCCATCGCCAGCACATGCGCCAAACACAATAGCTGGAAATAAATGGACTTAAACTTCATCCATTTAGTCACGTAGTGCTCATTATGTGTAGGACACTGGGACAGTAATGGCGAGACTTAACAAAGTTTCACGTTGGCGACAGTGCCTCCCAGTGAGAAGCCAGGACAGCCCGAGGCCATGCGTACAGGGTCTGGGGGGGGCGGCTGGCTCTCCACGGAGCACCTGCCAGGGCCTGGCTGGAGTCCACCGAGTGTTCGGAGGATCCCTAACACACAGCAGGGTTTCAATTTGTAAAGGCCCCACCCTGTGAAGACACCCCTTTCCCGGTGGTGAGGGGAGAGTGGGTACATTCATGGACGAAGAAGCAGTTTTTAAACCTCCCCGTTTCTGAAAGCAGGTGACGCGGTATTTGAGATCACAGGTGGAATGCAGGAGTCACATTTGCTCTGTTTGTGACTCTAGGTTTCGTGTGGGAGAGATGCAAGGAAAACCCAGTAGAGTGCCCGTTCCAGAATGACAGTGGCCGGGCAGCTACGCTGAATGATCATGTGTAAAGAGTCTGGTTTTTGTGTTGTTCTGTTCTTACTAAGATACAATCGATGTATAGCATTTTATTCGCTTTAGGTGTGCAGTACGAGGATTTGCTATGTGTGTGTATTGCAAAGCGAGTGTGTCCTGGTTGACCCGTGAACCCAGTCCCTGCTTTCTTCCCCGTTGCTTTGAGGTGCGGGGCTGAGGTGGGCGGGCAGTGCACACTGTTGACCCCCCCTTCCCCCAGACACCCTGAAGAAAAGGAGCTGGAGTCTTGGTCCACCACTTTCAGAAGGCAGAGAAGACCAGGCCTGGACCCGAGTGTTGAAGTGGGCAGCACAGTTACTGGTTTCATTCTTGGGTAGAGCTGTGGAGTGTTAAGGAGGAGACTCGGAGAGGTCAGAGATCTTGTAAAAATGTTTTCATTGCTCCAGAAAGGTCTTTCTGATCATTACCTTGCGAGAATACAGATTAGGTATCTGAAGACCTGGTGGAATGTACTTCTTAAATGTATGGTTTTTAAATGTCACTGGATAGTGACAGAAAGTCCCCTCAGTCCTCCTAGCAACACAATGCCTGCCAGTGTCCTGAAATCATTGAACCCAGTATGGGAAACAGTCGTAGCATTTGTAGGGCTTTAGAGCTGAAAGAGGTTAAAAACAAATGGACCCCAAGTGACGTGGCTTTTTGTGTGTTTTTGTTCCGATGGCCGCTTTGGCATTCACCTGTGTCTCCCCTCCTCTCTCCTCTCCGCAGTGAACACCTACCTCTTCATGATGCAGGCTCAAGGCATCCTGATCCGGGACAACATGCGGACAATAGGCGCTCAGGTGTATGAGCAGGTGGTTCGCGGCGCTTACGCCAAGAGGAACAGCAGCGTGAACGACTCAGGTATATTTTAGTAAAGACGTGGTCTGCTTAGAGTGTCTCCTCCCCGGAGAAGGAAATTCGGCTCAAGTAATTATCTTCGATGGAACAAGTATACTGTAAAAGGGGAAGGTTTGGCTGAGTCTTACCTTATTACTAACAAGAAGCTCTTGCAAAATGAATCCTTGTTAGTTTTGCTAGAAGTATGCGAAGTGTGGCCGTGTGACTCCATTGTCGCTCCTAATACTTTTCAGGGTTGGGGAGGGAAGACCCCTTTTGGGGGGTAGCTGCCCCCAGGAGGCAAATTAAGCATATTTGAGGACACCAGCAAAATAGGAGCACCAAGAGCTGTCCCTGGAAGTAATTTCACAAAAATGTATCCCTGCAGCCAGCAAGGAAAACCAGAACTTGGTTGGACTTCCTGGTACTTGGGGGATTGGTTTGTTCTGTTCTTTGCGTTTGTTCTGTTCTTTGTTTGGAGAAGACACGGTTCCTGTTGTTTTCAGAGCCGATGCAGCCTGGTCACCACCCGGGGAGAGTCGCTCCAACTCAGTTCTTTCTGTTGGACTCTACTTGAACTTGTTCCACCCAGTAGGACTCATTATTTATGAATGCTTAACAAGCTTTTATCTTGTAATAATCGTGTCATTCGGGACGGTTTCCACAAATTAAAAAGTGGCTTCTGGAGGAAGTTCTCTAGGTCACCTGGGTTACTGTCCCCAGTCAGGTGCCGTTTTCACCCGCAGGTCCAGCTCCAGCTCCAGCTCCGTGGCTGAGTCTGGTGGTCCGACTCCTTCCGCCCCGAAAAAGGCTCTGCCAACTGGGCGGCTAAACAGTGCAGTGATGGACCCAAGAGGGGGCATCTCTGCCCCCATCTTTGGAAGTTTTACCTGCACTTTCATTATTTTATAAGCCCTAATTACAGAAAGAGGAAAAAAGAACACAGGTTGGATGGCTTGCCTAAAATATATTGTAAGAACTTGTTTCTGAATCATGGCTTTGACTATTTTTATAAAACTATATTCGTAGGCAGTTCTTTACCTGTGACGGAAAGCTGTCTTTTTTATGTCTCTTTTTAACTCTTCCAAAAATTGAACAAAGGAAGTACTTCCAGATGGTTCAGTGGGACTCGTCTCGTCGTGGGGCTTGTCCAGTCTAGCCGGGGATGGTTTTCATTTTAGAAGTAGATTCTGAGGTTTTATTCTGCTCAGCATTCGGGATTAGTCCTGTATTTCTTTCACTGGGGACTGATGTGCTTTCCTGTGGCCTCTTAACTGCTCTCGCTCAAGCCTAGTATCATAAAACACGTATATTTTTAAAAGATAGTCATTTCTGCAAATTGGTCCTTCCTTTTTCAGTGAGTTCTAAGTGCACAGCTCAACTGGGGAATGTTGCATGTGAGAATTAGTCTCTGGTAATTGAGAACTCAAGAGAAATCCCTGCCTCTCAAAGGGAAGTTAAGTCTTGAAAATTGACCACCTCCTGGTCCTGGCCAGTAGCTCATTTGGTTCGAGTGTCATCCTGGTACCCTGAGGTTATAGGTTTGATCCCCGGTTGGGCCATGTACAAGAACAAACCAGCGAAGGCTTGGATGGGTGGAACAGCAGGTCGAAGTTTCTCTCTCTGTCTCTCAATTAATTTAAAAAATAATTTTAAAAAACTGAAACAAATTGGCCACATCTTAATCTGCCAATTTATCCTGCTGGCCAGCTTGGCAGCAACAAAGGGCCCTAGTTAGCAAACCAGATATGCTTTAGTACTTCCTTTTTCTTTTTCTTTCTTTTTCTAAAGAGCAAATAATCAATTTTCAGAGGGTTTTTAAAAATTTTTTAAGCCAAACTGTGGTCTTAGGACAAACTGCCAGAGCTGCGAACCTGGAAGAGGAGCGCGTGCACCCCCCAGATGCACGGGAGGAGGCCGAGCCCATTTTTGTTCACCGCTCATGGCGTGTGGCACCCGGCGTGCGGGTCGTCACCACTCACTCTGTCTGGCTTGTCTGCCGGCTCATCTTGAACATGGGGTCTCGTTAGTTCCCCGAGGGCTTGTTGTCCATGAAAACTGAGCACAGAAGGGACTGGCACCCTCGGGTGGCATGTCCAGGGACCCATTATTATTTGACTTTGCGTGCATTTCTCCAATTATCCTACACCAAAGTCTTTCTTCCCATCACCCATCCCTCTAGTTGAAGTAATAATTTTGTGCTTAATGTGTTACTATTTCCCTTATAAATTGGAAGTCTTTGCCGTTGGGGACTGTGTTGTTATGCTAGACACTGTACTTGCATTATTGCATGGAATCCTCACAAGAACTCAGTAAGGTAACTACTGTGTCCCCAAATTAGGGGAGAAGGGGACAAAGCACACAGGAGTGACAAGACGATGCTGCAGGGGAGTTGGGACTTGCTGACCCCCAAGTCCCAGCAGTGCCCTCACGGCCTCTGTCGTCTTTGTATCCCTGGTGCCTTGTGCACTGCCTGGAACACAAGAGACACTCAGTAAATTATTTTGAGTGCCTGAGTGAATAGATTTAACAAGGAAACACATTTAAAGCTTTGTAATCTAATCCTGAGATTACCGTCTTGATGGGCATCTTTATTATTGACACATCTTTAGCCAGTCTGAAAAAAGAAGTAGCATTTCTTTGAAAATGTATCCAGTGAAAGCCAGTTGTTTTTATTCATTTCTAAGCGGTTCTCTGCCTACTCGGCCTAGCACCACCGTAGCACCGTCGGTCGGTGGAGAGTGTCTGGCCTACAGCTGCAGGCACCGGCCTTACCAATGCTGACTCTCGGGTGCTGACTCTTTATATCATACTGTCCCTGTGACATCTCCCTACATGTGCCGGTTTCTGCATTTTTTAAGCAGAGAGGCGAGTGTGTGTTTGTTTTTCTCAGTGGGAGGGAGAAATGGTGGTTCTTCCTGGAGTCTTTGGGACAGCACTTCCCACACCCTGCTCAGCTAGATTGGGTAACCTAAGGGAGAAGGTGGGGTTTCTGCCACACCCCAGACCGGGGTGGCCCCATCGTCCCGATTTGCACATTGGAAGCCCCAGGGTGGTGGGGCTTTATAAAATATTGATGCTTACGCCTTGTCCCCAGAGATTCTTATTTAATTAGCTTGGGGCATAGCCTGGGCATTAAGACTTTTTAAAGCTTCTAGATGATTATGATGGCAACCAAAGCTGCTCAGCCACTGGTATGGGGTCAAGTTGAACAAGCGGACCATTTGATCTGCAGGTGGAAGGATGTCTGCTCTTCTCCCATTGTACAGATGTGGGAACAAGCTGCCTTCTTGCCCTTCCACCTTCCTTGCTCGAAGAACTTGTCCAGATTGGGAAGAGATTGACTTTAAATGAAAAAGTAAAACTGCACGCGGCCTTGGACACCCAGCAAGCTGGTTGTTTTCTTGCAGCAGTTCCGTCACCCGTGTCAGGAGAGTTAGACATGGCGGCGTGGTGTCCCCGTGGAGTGTCAGCATGCGGTCCACTCATTCCTAGGTGGCCGGACAAGGGACCTGGGCCCCACAATAACCGTGCAGTTCTGCCAGGCTGTGAGCAATTAATGCCCTCTGCCTCTTTCACTTCCTTAAAGTTTGTATCTCCAGAACTTAAAGTGAAAAATGAGGAAATTAGGGGTTTTGAGAAGTTTTTCCCCCAAGACGACTATTACAGGGCTTATTATGGAGGACTTCCACTCAGGAGTTGTGTAATTGAGGGTTTTTTAAAAAATATTTTATTTATTTTTAGAGAGAGGGGAAGGGAAGGAGAAAGAGTGGGAGAGAAACATCAGTGTGTGGTTGCCTCCCATGCATCCCCCACTGGGGACCTGGCCTGCAACCCAGGCATGTGTCCTGACTGGGAATCGAACTGGTGACCCCTTGCTTCACAGGCCTGCGCTCAATCCACTGAGCTACACCAGCCAGGGTAAGGTTTTTTTGTTTTGTTTTGTTTTTTAATAATGACACTATTTAGTTAGTAGCCAGAGGAAAAAAGTAGGTGATGTTTTGTTTTGCCCTGTTTTGCTCTGTGCTAGTTGCTACCAGGCTTGTTATGTCAGTGCCTGAGGGGTGTGACTTTAAACCCCCCAAAATAGGGTCATTAAAGTTAGAGGGTGTCTCCTCTGCTACGTGTTTTTGTTGTTGCTGCTGACTCTGTTTTTATTTTTGCTCCTGTCATTGTCCTTGCCCAGAATTATTATTCTCTTCTGGGGTTTTTTTTTTGTGGATTTGCTTAAGAAGATGCTTATTAGAATACCTCTGGGAATTTCTTTGCCTTCTAGGAAAAGGTAATTACTGTGATGCTGTTCTAAAGAGAAGAGTATATGTGTGTCATTAAGAAGCAGAATTAGAATCATCCAGAGTAATGATGGGTATTGAAGGGTTTTGACGGAGCTTTTTGAAGTGTTACCGTATTTTGCTGTGTAGAATGCACTCTGGAGTTTATTGCACAGCTACAGTTTTGGCTCAGACTTTCAAGAAAAAGTCTTTCATTTTGATTTCTTAATTCAATTATTTATTTATTTATATTTAGAGACAAACCCGAGTAGTGTATTCCAGGGTATTATTTTGCATACAGATATTGTTACTGCTTTCTAGAGCTACACTTATAATGCGTAATCATAAATAAAATAATTAAAAACATTTACGTGGGTACAGAATTAGTACTACCCACATATAATGCGCATCCTTATTTTTCCTTCAAAAATTTGGGCAAAAAAGTACGCATTATACACAGCAAAATATGATAATGAATACCTTTAAAAAAAGCCTCAACCTGGGACAGGTGTGCATGTGTGAACTGAGAACTTTGGACTAACTTCAATGTAAATGTAATTTTACCTTTGGGGTTAATGCTGACTTGGCTTATGTCTTTATATAAATGCAGGTGTAGAGGGTTTTTTTTTTTTTTTTTTTTTCAGGAAAGCCACAACTCAAAAGGACAGAAAGAGTCCTGTGTCTTTCTGTCCCTGTTAAGAGGCTGTTACAGTCCTCTCCAAGTTGCCTCTCATCGAGTCTCGTCCTCTGAGTCCTTGCAGAATGGGCAGCCCTGTGCCCCTGTGAAAGGGTTCACTGTATTGGCAGCTTGGTTCTTGGAAACCATCTCATAGTGCTTTTTAAAAGGCATCTGAGCTGGAGATTCTGGAATGTCAGGGTGCACAGTGAATTTGAGTAGGAAGTTTTAATGTTCATAGAACCAGCGTGGATCTAAAAGGGTTGGTGAGAAGTTTTCAACTCTGCAAAGATAGCGCAGTGGATGGAAAGATCGCTGGCCTGGGCTTCGTTGGCTCCCCGCCGGGGGCCGGCCGAGTCTCCCCGTGCCAGTCGTACGTGTGGCGCCTCAGTTTCCTCACCCGTGGAAACCAGAGGGGGAAGGGGCTCCCTTTATGCAGCACCCTAGGAAAAAGGCGTCTGCTTCACACACGTAAGACCCACGAAACGACACCACAGAGCTGTGTGTGCTGCGTGTGTGTGTACATATGTACCTTGTAAACCCTTAAGAATGAAGAGAACAGGAAAGGAAATCACAGCAAAAAAGTTTGGAAGTTGGAAAACAGATGGGGCCACTCACAAAGGACTTAACAGACCCCCCAAAAGGGATTGCTAACGTGGCAGGAAGGAAAGCCATCGCCCTCCCCAGGTTGTACCCTAGAATCTTCCAGAAGTTCAGAAATTAGCAACCTCAGGCACTTTGGGAGATAAGAACAAAGGTGGCAACTTAGATCGAGGTTGGCCAGAAGCCGTCTGAAAAGCGGTCAGACTCCCAGGTCCCTTTCCCTGTCTTGGCAAAGGACTGGAGACACAATAACCTGCCAGGAAGGTACACAGAGGGTCCCTCAGCTTGGGGTCACCTGTCTTGGTTTAGGTGTCCTCAGGTCCAGGATGCTTGTAGCCAAGACTGTCCTGTGGTGGCAGGAGATCGGAATAGGCTTCTCTGGGCCATATGACTGGGCCAAGAGGAAAGACGCAAAGATACTGACTCGGGAAGTTACTAAACCAAACTTCTGGCCAGAACACCCTATGATGAAGGACCTCAATCCACACCCTTCCAGTAGCTGGTCAGTGCCCCACTCTCTGGTATTAGCAGGTGACCGAGGGTCGCTGAGCTAGGGGGTGAAACAGACACGAGGCAGCAGGCTGGAAGAACCTGTGCGGGGAGAGGAATATGAGAACGAGCATAACACATATTCTTCGGGATAAGAGAAGAAGGATAGCAAATTGTGAAATAAGAACATTATTGTAAGAAGCGACCATTTAGAAAATGAAAAGGACTCTTTGGGATTAAAAAGGTGACGGCGGAAAAGATCATTAAAAGAAGAGCTCAGCAAAATTGAGGAAATTGTGGGGCATCAAAGAGGGCGTGGTCAACACAGCGGGCGAAAGCAGACCCCTAGCAAGGCACGGCAGCATGGAGTTTTCTGAACAAAGAGACGTGACTGGTCACCTTTGATCAGAGTCAGGGATTGGAGTGGCTTTGGCCTTAACAGACCCGAGGAATCCAGAGGCAGTGGGACAGCACCTGCACAGTCCTTTTTTTCTTTTTAAGTGGCTTTTAAAAGTTAGTTTATTTTTAGAGAAAGGGAGGGGGGAGGGAGGAACAAAGAGGGAGAGAAACAGTGAGATATACAAAGTTTCAAAATCACTTCCCATTTCCCCTTCTTAGAGTTGTGCTCCAGTAAGTGAGAAAAAGGGGGGAATTGAACTTGGGGAGAACAAGGTTCAGCACAGTAAAGGGGGAAGGAATCTCCAGGACACTGAAGAAGGGAGGTCCCGGCCCAGCATCTGCCTGTCAGCGCAAAGGACGGCCCGTGCAGATGGGAGTGGGGCGGCAGGCCCTTGGCCTTCTGTGCAGGATGGAATTAGGAGAACACCTGATGCCTGTGAGCGTCTTAAGCAGTACGCAGTGTTAAAGGGCATGGTGTTGAGTCAGTCCTTAACCCCATATAAAACTTGGCAAACAGAAAAACAAGACAGTTACTCCAGGAAAAAAACTACCCGGGAAAGGAAGGAAAAGTAATTATAACTCCCTGCATTTCTCAGTTATGATTAATATCCATAGAATCGTCACAATCTGAAGGCTAAAGACACAGCGTCCTAGTCACTGTTATCATATATGACCGCTAGGAGACCGGAGGATGGGGAGGGTGTGTGTGTGCTGGGGCAGCGGGGGGAAGGGAGGGCCATCCTCCTTCCCATAGTGGGGAGTCAGCAGGTGCGACTGAGGCCTAAGATGGGAGCACTGTGATTAACCACGTAGGGAATGGGGATAACTAACAGAGCGTCGGCTGACAGAAGTGAGGTTAGTTGCTTTAGAGAACAAGGCACAGGGGCACTGCTGTTTTCGTAGTTACACTGTGGAGTTATTTGACTGTATCCTGAGTGCATTGAAAGCTGCGATATCAGCAAGAATAGAAACACTGGTTGAAACGGTATCAACTGGTTAACATTTGCATTGATGAGTTCAAATTTGCAGCCGCGGGGAAGAGCTAGTCCAGCGCCCTGCTTCATGAAGAAGCATGTCTAAGGAAAAAACGTGTTCGGTGGGCCCCTGAGACTGCAGCTTTCATTGGTCATGTGCACCAGACTGAGTTGCCTGTTTTTCCTCCCTTTCTAGATTATCCTTTGGACTTGAACCACAGCGAAACCTTCCTACAAACCACAACCTTTCTTCCTGAAGACTTCACCTACTTTGCAAACCACACCTGTCCCGAAAGGCTCCCTTCCATGAGTGAGTAGAGAGAGCGCTTGCTTATCGTCTTCTATTTTGAAACTGCTGCCTTTTTATTTGGGTAGAATGAGAGGGAGCGTGTCCTTGCCGTCTCGGCGTGTCTGCCTTTGGAGAGAACTGGGAGCTCCTCCCTGCCATTGGGGACAGGGACTGTGAGAGTCACCGGTGTCCCGACCCTCCCTCAGCCCCTCTGCAGGGTCACTCGTGTTCTTGGTGCTATTTTCTACATTTTTCCCTCTGTTCTTTGCACATTCCCCCTTGCTTGTAACTTGGGGTCTATTAACACGTCCTAGAGAAAGTAATAGGCAACCAGCTTCATAGAGTATAACTCTTACACTAATTATAACTCGTTTGATGTGAGAGAAGTTATTTTCTTAACAAAGTACTAGTTAAAAAAAATTCTTGGATCTTTTCTTTCTTCTTTCCTTCTTTCTTGGAATCCCACGTGAAATCTAAAACAGTGACAACAAAGTATCACCCCTTTTCTGTATCTCAGTTCCGCTCTCTTAAGTCAGAGATGATGCGTGTTCTGGGTTTGGACATGGCCAGCCAGCGTCACTGGGAAATCACGTGGGACACTGAGTCCATGCGAGCCTCAGGAGCACACTGAGATGGCTCCAGGCTCATCTGCTGTCCTCCTTCCTCTTTGACAAGTTCAGCTGCTGTTACACTTGGTCTTGATTTCTTTCTATGCCCTGGGCAGAAAGTCTTAGTTTCTTGATTGGCTTCTTTCCCCAGGAGTAGTGGTGACCTGAGATGTAGTGAGTTGTAAAGCAGAGGAAGGGACTCCTGCCCCTATTAAAAGCTATCACAATAAAGCTTAAAAAGACATTGAACTTCTCCAGCGAGTCAAGGCCTGGACACAGGGGGAAAGACTGCCATTTTCCGGCCTCTCACTTTTTTTTTTCTCTCTCTCTCTGTACAGAGGGCCCAGTGGACATAAACATGAGTGAAATTGGAATGGATACCATTCACGAACTCTTTTCCAAAGACCCAGCCATCAAGCTCGGAGGTCACTGGACGCCCTCCGACTGCGTGCCCCGATGGAAGGTAGGGTGTGGCGTCGGACCTGAAGCACCAGGAAGCCCACCTGGGACTTGCCCCTGTTTCGTATCACCACGGGGTTCACTGACTGTAACGCTGTGCAGTTTGCTTCCTGCTGCCCGATGAAAAGTATTTGCATTTGATGAAAATGTCCTGGAGGAATGTGTTTCCCTGAGGATTCTTCTGTAGCCACAGAAATTTGCATCCTTCCGATGACCAAGCAGGCAGGCCCCTCTTGTCCTCCTCACAGGGCCGTTGTGAGCAGGGGCGGGGGTTGGTGGGTCTTTCATGGCACACTTACAGAAGCCCTCTTCGCAAATTCAGCACTTCCTGCCTTCCTCGCCACTGTTACTGTAAGTTGAGCGGGGTGAGAAGTGGAGAGAGCTGGCTGGGTGGCGAGGATTTTAAAGTGCGGATTCTGGGCCAGCTCCGTGAGGTCTGATCATGGGGCAGCCATGATCAGAGCAGATCAGACAGTTTCCCGCCCACGGCTAGGAACATAAAATCAATTTAATGACCATCATTCAGTAACTGTATCTGTGTTAAAGTTCGCTGCACACTGTAAGGGGAAGTGCTGTTTTGTGAAGTGTGTTTTAGCTGTATGTTTACATGTATCTATGGATCTTTGTGCGCCGGGTCACCGTGTAGTGGAATGTATGTCTTCCCCCAGCTCTGGTCTAGAACGAGTCCACTCGGCGGGCCCACTTCGTGCACCGTGTGGTGTGTGTAAGACCAGGGGCCACCAACTTCCAGGGGTCAACTTGTCAGAGTAGTTCTTCCTTTAGAGGAAGCTGAGGGCGAGGCAGCCTCCCAGCGCGGCTCCCCAGAAGCTGGTCACCGGTTCCGCAGGAGCCAAGGGACTGACAGGGAGCCCCCCTGTTCCGACCCCCTGCAGGTGGCCATCCTGATCCCCTTCCGGAACCGCCACGAGCACCTCCCGGTCCTGCTCAGACACCTGATCCCCATGCTCCAGCGCCAGCGCCTGCGGTTCGCGTTTTACGTGATCGAGCAAGTGAGTGGTCGGTCCTTTCCTTCCTGGCCTCCTCCTTCTGAGGCAGCAGCTTAGCGTGGACTTCCAGCCAGCCCGCCCGTCCGCAGTTTGAGGCGCCTGTAAACTGAAATCTTGTCACTGAGTCATCCTGAGGGGGGAGGGGAAATGGGGAGCCATTCTGTGCTGCTCCTTGAAATGTCGCTCGGTCAATAGCGCAGGTCTGAGTCCAGGGTGGAACTTTGTTTACCCTGAACAAAGGGCCCTTGTGTGTCGGTCCTGCCGGAGTTGCACTGGGTGGTGTCTCGGGTCCCAGGAGATGCCCTAACAATGGGGAGCTGTAAGCAGGAACTGCCGTGTGTTCCCTTCCCTCTCCTGGGGCTGGGTGATCTCCTAGCTGCCGTCTGCCTTCACAGCAGCCTTGGGAGAGAGGAACTTGGCTTTACCATTATCCCCATATTATTTCTAAGGACATCGAGGCCAGAGGTCAGGCAGCTGGCGTGTCGGTGAGGCGGGATGTGGTGCAGGTCCCCAGCGGGTGTCGATAAGCTTCCTTCAGGCTGGGCTGAGGCTGCAGCGACTTTGCTTCAGGAGCCCTGTTGCAAATAAGGTTCTGCTGTTGTAGGTTGGCACCCAGCCCTTCAACCGAGCCATGCTTTTCAACGTCGGTTTTCAAGAAGCAATGAAGGACTTGGACTGGGACTGCCTCATTTTTCACGACGTGGATCACATACCAGAAAGTGACCGTAACTACTATGGATGTGGACAGATGCCAAGGCATTTTGCAACTAAATTGGATAAGTATATGTATCTGTGAGTATCATTTCCTCTTAAAGAAGCAAATCTAAAAGGATGGTGAGAGATGCAGATGACAAATCCCGTTAAATCCCGTTAGCTCCAACCCAAATGCCCATCAGCTGATGAGTGGATAAAAACAAAATGTAGTATATTCACACGGAGTGCCGTTTGTCAGGGTAGAGGCGTGAAGTCCCGATACACGCAACAGCGTGGGTGAGCCTTGCAAACGGGCTGCGTGGAAGAAACTAGTTACAAAAGACAGCGTATTATATGATTTCATTTACGCGGACTGTCCAGAATAGGCAAATCTGTGGAAACAGGAGGGAGAATAGTGGCTGCGTGCGTGGGGTTGGGGGAACCCGGGGAACTGAGTACCTGCCAGTGGGTCCAAGGCTGCTTTTGGGGGTAACGAAATGCGTTAAAATGGGTCATGGTCATGGTTGCACAACCCTGTGAATATACTAAAAAGCTCACTGGGTTACGCACTTGAAATGGGTGAATTGTACAGCATGTCAGTGTGTCTCGGTTAACTGTTACAAAAAGTGCTCGATGAGCCCAGGCTGCTGTGGCTCAGTGGATTGAGTGCTGGCCTGTGAACCAAAGGATTGCCAGTTCGATTCCCAGTGCAGGCCAGGTCCCCAGTTGGGGGCGTGCAAGAGTCAACCACACATTGATATTTCTCTGCCTCTCTTTCCCCCTCCCTTTTCTTCTCTCTAAATATGAATAAAATCTTTAAAAAAAAAAAAACTCAATGAGCTACTCGGGTTGATGCATCTCAGCACGAGGAAACAATTTCAGATGGTTCAGGCCAGTGGCGCGGAGAGCATTGTGTTCTGTTTAAGACGATGTTCTCCAGCGAGGTGGCCTGTTCCGGAAAAAGTCACGCTCTCGCGCGCAGAGGACTGATGCTGTACGTCTCCTTTTAGGCTTCCTTACACTGAGTTCTTTGGCGGAGTGAGCGGCCTAACAGTGGAACAGTTTCGGAAAATCAACGGCTTCCCTAATGCTTTCTGGGGTTGGGGTGGAGAAGACGACGACCTGTGGAACAGGTACGGCCCCTGCCCCTGTGTCTTCTGGGAGGGCTCCCGCAGGCGGAGCCGCAGGGACAGAGGCGGGTACAGTGCAGGGTGTGCCGGGAGCCACATTCCCAAAGCTTTAGAAAAAACAAACCCAGGGCAAATTAACTTCGATGTGGTCATGAGTTACGTTAACAGTGTGTTTCTCGTAATGTATCCAACATGGTGTCCTTTCAACACGTAATTAATGAAAAATGTTAATGAAATAGTTTACATTCCTTTTTCTCACTCAATCTTTGAAATCTGCATGTACTTTCCATTCACAATACATCTCACTGAAACCTCCCCAAACCGGAGGTCGGATGTTGGTGCTCCGCACATGGATTTGTCCGGGAGATCGGATGAGGCTTGTGTTGTGCGGCTGTATGTGAACAATCCCCCGAGTGGTGTACACTGATATTTTTAGGAGTAAGTAAAGAGCAGCTTAATAAGGAATGAATAACAAAGGAATTGCCACCTTGTGTCTGTTTTAGCTTGGCTTTTAGCTTGGCTTCTAACAAGAAAGTATGTGTTGGCTGTTAATTACAAAGTAACGTTCCTTATTCCTAAACATTGCGTAGTATTGCTTTGTGTACATGTGCAGTAATTTCTTCTAATTCTCTTCTGTTGTTGCAGTTTTGAATATCCTTTGTTCACACGTGTCAGTATTTCTTTAGATTAAATTCCTAGTTGTGGAAATACAGAGTCAAGAATTAAATGCACTTCATTGTATTTCATTTCATTTTTATTTATCGATTTAGAGAAAAAGAGAAGGTAGAGAGAGAGAAACATTGATTTGTTGTTCCACTCATTGATGCACTCATTGGTTGATTCTTGTATGTGCCCTGACCGGGGATTGAACCTAGAACCTTGGTGTATCGGGACGACGCTCTAACCACCTGGGCTATCCGGCCAGGTCAAGAAGTAAACACACTTTCAATTTTGGTAGCGATTGTGAAATTTTCCTTCAAAAAAGATTGCAGGAAGATTCTGACCAGTGGTGCACTAGCACGCCATTTTCTTTTGTTTATGTATTGATTTTAACGTTACTCAGTTATGGTCATCCCTGCATGACCATTTTCTTATACCACTGCCCGCCTTAGAGATAAACAGCCTTTTACATTTGGGCCACATTTTGACTCTTCAGCAGTGGCCCACGGCCTCTGCACGGGACAAAGCCACTCCAGGCCATTCTTGTTCAATCCAGTAGGTAAAAATGGCATCTCATCCTTTTAATTTTGGTTTCTTAGGGACCTAGCAGGATGAAGAGCTGTTCCACATTCTTAACTGGTTTGACTGGTCCTTGCATCCAGCCGATCCCTCCCAGGACATCTGGTGCAATTCTCATCGCCCTCTCCCCCAATCTCGGGGTGGAGGGGTGGGTTTAGGTGCAGGAACTGTGGCTGGCTTCCCCCCCCCCGCACCCTGCACAATTCCAGGCTCCACGTGTACTTATCGAATGAGAGAGTAACTTGGAGTCAGGAGGATGTTGAAATGAGGTGAAAATGACCACAAACTTCACACAGAATCCAAAGTCCATTAATGATTTCTTCAAGCCCTGTGGAGTTACCAGTAAACCCAGCTCGGGAAATCTGTATCATGTTGGGAGAATATCCTGAACACCTCCTCCAAATTCGGCTTCCCTTGTAGTGGCTTTTCACACATTGTGAAGTTTTACACCTAGAGATTGTTGTGCAAAGTCATTCATCTCCATAGGGATGGGGGAGGTGGGCGGGGACCTCACTTCGACCCGAAGCAGGGAAACTGCACAGCAGCTCCGACTTTGCTGACTTGTTTTGTGGGGGGCAGGAGAGGGGTCGTCCTCATAGGACCCAAGGAAGCCGTGGAGAGCGAGTGTGTGTGCACTGGTCTGCGGGGACCACCCACTGTCGGACCTGCTGAGAGCCCGTGTTGATGCTCACCCTCAAGAATTTTGGGTTTCATTTTGAATTTGTTGTTTTGTTTCAAAACTGTTAAGTATTGTAGATTTCTTTTCTAAAGCCACGAGCTTACCCAGAGGATACAGGAAATGTGCATGAATATGTAGACACAGAGAAGCCCCGTTGTTCAGTTTGGGCTTCCCACCCTCGGCCTAGGTTTGCCCACCTGTAGGACTTGATTGCGGTACCTGAAAGCCCTTTCTCTTTGTCTCGGACAGAGTGCAGAACGCGGGCTATTCTGTGAGCCGGCCGGAAGGCAACACGGGGAAGTACAAGTCCATCCCTCATCACCATCGAGGAGAAGTCCAGTTTCTTGGAAGGTGGGTGCCATTTACTATTCCTCTCACAAATGCCCAAGTCCAAGGAGCTGTACTTCGCCTTTGCAGGTGTCCCAGAGCCCGTGCCAACCCCTTGCCTCACTGCTCAGCCGCTCTCCGGGCCCTGTTCTGACAGCTGCCCTGTGTTTTAACGTAACTGGGAGGCAGACGTGCAGGGGGACAGCAGAGGACTGGGGAAAACTTTGTAAGAGTTTCTAAGGAAATCGCTGGTTCTACATCTTAAGCTTTGTAATCTCCTCGGTAGCCTTCAGAGAGTGGGAGACAAGTTCCCTCGGGTCAAGGTCTTCATGACGGACACTACGTGTCACAGCAGACTCAGCTCCCCTCCTGCAGGCTCCGGCGCTGAGGGGGCCGAGGGACATCTCTGCACTTCCGGGGGGCCCTCTGTGTCTTTCGTTAATGGGGAGGGAGGACTGGCCCCCAGAGAGCCGATTCTGGTGGCGCGAACTCTGTCTTCACAGAGTAACAGGCACCAGGTACAGACACCCGACCATCCCATCTGCTGTGTTAGTGTCTTCCACCCCCCAGGCCATTAGCACCAGGAGCCTTGGTTTCCTCCTTTGCTTAAGGGGGGAGGGGTGATAAGGGAAGGATGTAGTAAATAAAGCGCCTTCCATGAAATAGGAGGTACTTCTTATAATAATAACATTGACTGCGGAGTAGCTGAATGGCTGGTGCCCCGCCACGTGTGCTCTCCTGTGGTCTGCCTGCCCCGTCCTCTGTCGGGAGGGGGTCAGACCTTTGCTCAGAGCCACCTCTGTCCTCTGCGCCAACAGGTACGCTCTGCTGAGGAAGTCCAAGGAGCGGCAAGGGCTGGACGGCCTCAACAACTTGAACTACTTCGCAAACATCACGTACGACGCCTTGTATAAGAACATTACTGTCAACTTGACACCCGAGCTGGCTCAGGTGGCCGAGTACTGAGAGGAGGAGGGAGCGTGTGTTTGCTCCGCCCACCACCGTGGAGCGCACAGACCAATGGCACTGGCATGTCCCTGGCCTCCGCCCCGGGCAGAGAAGCAGGGCCACAGCGTCCGATGGAAGGTGCAGGGCCCAGGGAGGAGCGTGCGCGGGGCACACGCACACCCCCACCCTTCAGACCCGCCATTTGGACCCACCGAGACCCAGGGAGCAAGCTCCGGTGCCGCTTTCATCGGGACTGGCTTCCTCTTTTCACCAGACGACGTCTGTCCTGCTGCTCTTCTGCCCGGTCTCCTGCCCGACGCCCCACCTCAGCCCCCATCTCAGAACCGGAACCGCAGCCCGCGGCGGGCCTGTCCCGGAGCTGGCTCCTGCGTTGGCCTCGGGAGCTTCTTGGCCTTCGGTGCGAAGAGGCAAACCCACCACAGGGCAGCTGTGTTTCAGGAAGAGAAATGAAACTCCACACACCATTCTCCATCTCTGGTGTTCTCTTCAGTTTCATTTTTTTAAAAAAAAATTACCTGCTTTGGGTGGGGGTTGAGGGGGGAGGGGAGGGACTGGGGAAGATAAATAGACATGTAACAATCACTTCTTGAAGAAGTATAATTAATTGTAAATAAGCCATGTAAAATGCCTTTTTTAAATTTAATTTTATAGCTGGCTTCAATTCAAACTGAGGATTTATATTATTACATCACTTATTTGGTTGGCAAATGCAGGATCTCAGTTAAAATGCAATGAAAGAGTATATCTCCCAACCTGCTGTCACTTTGGAAGGGAGTGGATTCAGGGTGTGTCACAAAAGAACAAACGAGTCCAATCTTGGTCACTGGTAGCTGACCTCTGCCACCATCCATCCCCTCTTCCAAGGTCTTGCTCTTGACTTTTGCTGTGGATTCTCGCCCCTGTTGGGCATGGACCTCTCTTCGCAGTCTGTTGCGAAGCAGGAGTTTGCTCTTTTGCAGCAAGCTGCTCTCCCTGCTCCCAGCAGACCCCCGGGGGAGGGCCCGCCGGCTTGCACCCCCGGGGCTCTGGCCTTTTGCTTTGTCTTTTCATCACTGTGAGAGGAAGGATGGGTGGTGTCTTTCCTTCTCTCTCTCTCTCTTTTTTTCTCCTGTGGAATGTGGTCACAATTTCTGAAATCTGTGCCTAAAGTACCAACTAGCTTCAGTGATTCCTCTAAGTATTTCCCTTTTGGTTTCCAACATTACTAACTAGTCCCCGGAACTAATGGGCGGTCAAACCGTGAGAAGCTCGCCCGGGAGCAGACGCTGCGTGTGTGCGGTGGGCCAGCGGGGTTGCAGGTTAGACCGATCAGAGCTCCGAGATGAGGCCGGCAGGGTGCCAGGGGCGAGAGCCCGCTCGCGCTGTTTGCTCCCATGCGCTTCGGGAAGTCGGATTGTAAACTGCGTTTGAGTTTGTGCCTCTTGCTTTTTCCCCTGCGCCAAACCCCTCGATTCGCCAGTCCCTGTGGACTTCTGCAGAATTGTGAACAATGCCAGTGTTTTTCCTCTCCTTTTCCATAAAACGTATTTATAGATCATGATTGGGAGTACTTTCTGAAGAGTACTTCATATTTTTTTTAATTGCCTTGTTTGCCTTCAACTTTCTTAATTTTCATGGTTTACATGGATGTGCGTGTAGGGGTGTATTTGTGTAAACACGTGTGGGTTGGGTTTTTTCCGATGCATGTTGTTGGTCCCATGGACATATGATCCCCACAAGTTGTGGGAGTGATTGGCCAGGCCTCATTTTTGTTCATGTTTTTCGTTCTTTTGAAGAATAGAGTGGCATTTAGAAAATCAGTTGCATTGCAAAGCTCTTACCAGCTTGCATGAGAGAGCAGGCTGCTGCCCTTGAAAATGCTGGTGAGTTGCATCATATGTTTTAAAAGATTTTGAGAATTTCATGCTTTAAAAGACCTTCAGAAGGGAACATTGCACACAGAAGTCCGTCTGGTTTTCCTTTGATTCTGATGCACACAGCAATAACGATTGCTCTCCCCCTTGCTCCCTTGCGTACCCCCAGACCTCCGTGCTGGCCCTGTGCGCTTCCCACCCTCCTCCTCCTCTTTCCCTCTTTCCTCGCTGAAGGCTGAGCTGCTTTCGGTGAGACAAAACTACGATGCCACTGGGAAGAACTGGCCAGGACGGACTGCTTGACACTTGGCAGGTGTTGAACAGGGATCTTCTTTGAAGCTTTTTTTATCAACCCATTTTCCACCAAGAACCAGATGTTGGCAAAAGGCTAACACCTGATTTAAAAAAGGAAGTGCCGAGTAGAGAACAGAAAGAAAAGGTCTCAGAAATCAGGTTGCTTAAATGATCTTGTAGCCGTGCGTAGGTTTGTGTCATTGGTGTGGAATCTCTCCTGTGCCCTGGGTGTCGCTCACCCACCCCGTGGAGCATTGTCTGGGGAACCAAGCCGGTGAAGCACCCAGCTCAGCCCGGTGCTGTTAGTGGTGTGAAATTCTCATGTTAAAAAAAAGTGAAGAATAACAATAAGAACCAAATGTGACCTTGCGTGTATTGTGGCAGCTGAAATTCTTTTAAGGCTACTGATGGGTGTGCCCCTCCCCTTAAATCCTTCTTGTCTTGGAATATTGCCAGACGGGGGAAGGTTGCTCCTTTCACACTTTTTTTTTTGAAGGGGGGGGAGTTATTTGCAAAAATACTCATTTTGACATTATAGGGACTCTTCTTAGAGCTTCTCCAGCACAGACATTCGTAGCTGAGCAACAGCCACGTGGTCGATTGTATCCACTCACCAGTGACGATGACATGGAGCGCAGCTCACGCCCATCACTGCGCTTTGTTGAGCTTGCTCTTGTTCTAAGAGGTGCCGGGGGTACATTTTTGCACTGAAATCTAAAGATGTTTTAAAAAAAAAAACTTTTCACAAAGATAGTCCTTTGTCATTACATTATTTACTCATGTGTTTGTACATTTTTGTATGTTAATTTATGAATGATTTTTTCAGTAAAAAATACATATGGAAGAACCAAACCTTGGGGGTCGTCTTTCTTTGTCTGGGGCAGTTTGGCTTCTTGGGGCCTTGAGCTCCTCCCTGTGTTCCTTCAAGCCCTTGGCATCCACCCTGCTCACTGCCCACCTGCCCCCTACATCCAGGCCAGCTGAGTAAAAAAAAAAACCAGCCCCAGTGGCAGAAGCACGGCACCGAGTTGCGCTCTCCAGGTCCCCGTCCTCCTTCCGCAGCTGGGTTTTCGCTCGAGAATTAGCCCAGGTGATGCCCAAGTCGAATAAGACCCCCTGGGGAGAAGGGGAGGGTGAGGATCGATGGGGTCTGGGTCCAGGATTTCACTGCCTGCCTGAGCCTGAGCCTGAGCCTGATCCTGCACGAAGTTTGTAACCATGTGACTGTTTACCACTCACAAATACGAGTGTGACGTTGCGGGCCCAGGTGTCGGGATACAATGACGAGCGGTAAGACGGGGTTGGTGTCGTAGCTTTCTGTCCTGTTTTCCCTGCACCCCCAGGTGGAGGGTATGATTGAGACTCCAACCTCAGCATGTGCTGTAACAGAGGTACCTGTGGGCCGGGAGTGGCTGGTAGGGCAGGTGCCCCTGAGGTCGGTGGGGAGCTGGGAAGAGACAAGCAGCACAGGCCGTGAGCGGCCAGACCAGGAAGCCGGGAGGGTTGGAGAGAGATCAAAGGGGGTGCTCACCGGGCATCTCAGCCGAGGAGTTGAATGGGCCAGACCCCTGGTGAAGGCCTTGTGCGGTAAGGTAAGGAGTTCAGATTTTGCCCTTAGAGCAATGGGTCCCAGGGTTTCCGGCAGGTAGGGCTGAGTGTCACGTGATCAGACGGTACTTTCTGATAGAGCACCGGCTGCAGGGAGGGCAGGGGATTGTGGAGGGTCAAAGCAGGGGGCCAGTTAGGTGGGTCCGTGTGGAGGAGAGGAGGGGTGCTGGGGTGAAACAGGGTCTGGGCACGGTTGCTGTGGGAGTGAGGGGTCCCCCCCACCCCCAAGCTGCTGGCCTCCCCCTCGCATGGATGGCAAGGCCATTTCCTGAGAGGGGCACTGGAGTCGGGTCAGGTACCTGGGGAAGATTGTGAAATCAGTTGTAAATGTATTAGGGTCTGGGAGTCTTGAGACAGCGGAGCAGAAATGGCAACTGAGCAGCGGTCCATGTTCCGGTTTGGGGACTGGGAGGAATGGTGGGATCAGGGATAGATTTGCGAGTGTGGCTGGACATCAGTGAAGATCTAGGAGTCGGTGAGGCTACTCAGGAGCTGAGTAGAGCAGGCAGTGTGGAGGGTGGAGAGACGTGACCTTGGCCCAAGCCTCTGAGATCTTCACTTAATGACAGTTGAGACCCGAGCAGACAGGAAGAGACATAGGGCAACAGGAGTGGACAGGACTGGAAAGTCAAGGGACAAGATGTTCGTGGGAGATGTGCAAGGATGCAGGGAAGGAGTAAGATGAGGAGTGAACGCTGATGAATGACCAGCCATGCGGAGGGCGTGGGTCTTGTGGCGAGAGCCATTTCTCGGAACTGGGGGGCGGGGGAGTGGGCCGGGGAAAGGAGGAAATGAAAGTGACGATGGGCACAGGCTCTTGAATTTCCTGAGAAGGGGGCGAAATGGAAGGCTGGTGGTTTCAATGCTGGTTTTCTAACAAAAGAAACCTGAGGGTGTTCTTTGAACCAGAGAGGGATGTCCCTACCGGGGAAAGAGAGCTGAATATACAAGAGGCCAGGGACAGTCGGGCAGGAATGGTCCCCATCCAGTGACAGGGAGGGAGGCTAGAAAAGCAGAAACCCAGGAGGAATGAGGAACCAAGTAGGAATGGCAGGTGGAGACCAGGGCTGCTGTTAAAACGCCTGAGGACCTCTTGCAGTCCAGTCCTGGGGTGCAAGGTCAGCTGAGTGGACTCCAGGTACTACCACTTCCTCCCCACTCAATTTTTCTTTTTTTCTTTTTTTTAATTTGGGAGAAGTCCAGTCATAAAAATAGCAGTCAATAGTTCTCATTTATTGAGTCCTTGTTCTGCACCAGGGGCTGTGCTAATTAAGCACATTGCACACAATTAGCTGGCTGTCCACCCTACAAAGTGGACCTTGCCCCTTTTTCCAGAGCACTGTTCCTCGTCCTCAGCTCCTGACTGGGGCTGGGTAGTTCTTCATCCAGCTGGGGCGGCAGGGTTGCAGTCCTCTGTGTACTACAGGATGTTTAGTAGCATTCCCCCCACATTGTGACACCCCCCCAATTCCCCAGACATTGCCAAATGACCCTGTGGAGAACAGAATCCCCTGGTTTCATGCTCTGGGGCTGAGGCACAGAAGCCACCAAAGCCACTGCTTGCCTGAAGTCATGAGACGCCCCAGAGCCAGTGGCTGTGAGCGCCAGGCCTTTCTACCCCAAGGTGCACGCTCTGAATCTCTAAGTTGCTCCTGGCCCGACTTTCTTCCTGCACTAGGAGCTGTGGTTCACCAACCATGTTCACAACTCCACCGTAGAGGCGAGTCAGGAGGACGTGCTTACGGAGAAATGCTTTGCTTACGGAGAAATGCTTTGAATCTCTCTCCCTTCCATGCCTGCCGTTTGGCTAATGTCTCTAACAGGGAAACAGGGACAGGTAATGTGCACTTAGGAAAAACCCAGGCATCGTCTTGTAATCACTTTTGCATTTTAATCCTCGGATTTCTTGCCGACCTCTTCGTGATTGAGGGACTTCAAGTGCAGCTCAGATGTCACCTGCTCAGAGGGGCTGTGCACAAACACTGCGAAATGCCACATCCCTCTCTCCTCTCCTTTGCTTCATGACATTTCTTACTTTGAATCCCATTATATTTTTATTGGTTCTCCGTTCAACGCCACTGAAATGTGTTCCCCATGAAGCCGGAGACTGTTCCGTCCTCTGCTCTAACCCCAGTGCCAAGGACTGGTCCTGGCACATAGTAGGTGCTCCATCAGTATTTGTAGAATGAATAAACCTGTCTCATTCCCTTGAACGGGCTGCCTGGAGTGACCCTGTGCTCGGATGGAAGTGGTTTCTTTAGCTATTCCCCTCCCGATGGACACGGAGTTTGTCTCCAATGTTCCACTACCCTGTAACATGCAGCCCAGTGAACGAACACATAAATCCACGTGTACAAATAAGCAGATCAACTTGAGAGGGTCCAAGAACTGAAACTCCCGGGACAAAGGACTAGCACATCCTACATGCTGGTGGAATGAACCGAATTGTCCTACGAAAGGGCAGTTTCCGGAGGAGGGACGGCTCCATGAAGTGACCACGGCCGGACCCACCCGGCAGATCTGGGCCAGAACAGAGGCTGCTTCCCATGAGTCAGAGACTGTCTCATTGCCGGTCCCCGATCCCCCGAGGGACGCTGGGTCTTGGAACGGATGGGTGGACCTTTGGCCTGCCCTGGGCAAGACAGCCTTTCCCCCTTATCCGTCCTGTTCCATGTAATTCCTCAGCTTGCACCTTGCAGCTGTTAGGACACCCACATCCTCCTACCAGTGCCCAAGCCACCTCTGGTATATAAGTCCCCTCAGTAAAATCTCCACATAGTGAAGGAGTCATGGAACTCTTTCTCTGGTATCTTGGCCCCAGGAGACTTTACAAACGGGCAGTATGAATTATCCGCTGTCCCCTCTATGGATGACCACTCCCTTTATGTCATTAGTCCCCTGGGACTGGTTTTGTAAATGACGTGAGGTGAGGGAGGGTCCAGGTGTAGTTTTTATTGAATGAATGGCCAATTGTCCCAACGGGTTTTTATTATTGTCATTTCCTCATTTATTTGAAATACTGCATTTCATACATTGAATTCTGTAGCAAGATTTTTCCATTCCACTAGGCCATTCTGCCTTCCCTGGTTTATACTTACATCACTACATCCCTACGGTATGTTTTTATAAGACAAGGGTCTCTCATCTTCTGTCTCCGCCTCCAACTTTTAAACCTAAGTTTTTTCTAGAAGTGGAGTGTACATACGGAAGAGTCCATAAGTCATACACGAACAGCCCGGTTTTTGAATTGTCAGATTGAACATGCCACTATAACCTCATCATTGTTTATACTCAAAGTTTTCTTGGCTATTCTTTATGTATTAATCCAGTGAAATTTAGATTCATTTTGTCCATGTCTAGTAAAAATCTAGGTAGGCTTAAGATTGGCAAGACACTGAATTGTCAACTTGGGAAGAATTACTATCTTTACAATATGAAGTCTTATTGTAAGCACAAAATCACCAATTTTTTTTTTTGTGCTGAGAGAAACCTTGGACTATCTACTCCAGCCATGATGAGTTCATGTCCCTATGGATTTCCAGCCAAAAAAATAGTGTGAAAAAAAAATCCCTAGATAATTGGCAGAGAGATCTTATGGCCACTTTCTGTATGGTGATATTATTTCGTATCCAGTTCTATTAAGATAATTCAACAGAGGTGTCACAGTCTTGCCGCCAACTAGAAATCTTGTCTCCAGTTAACTCCTGCGGGCGGGTTGGTCTGAAGCATTCGATTTCAGTAGGAAGAGTGCCTTATACTCATATATGGTGCTTTGCAGTGAAGCCGCTACTGACCGGCCACCATTACCCGTCAGGCACTGCGCTGGGAATCTCGCGAGTGCCGTGGCACTGACTCCTCACTGTGTAACTAGTATTGTTGCGGAATTTCCGCCAAGATGGCGGCATAGGTGGAGACACTGTGCTTCCTCACACAACCAAGTTTAGAGACAACTAAATAACAGCAACAGAAAACACAGCCAGAACACAGAAAATTGAACTTTTCAGAAGTCTGATAACAACAAATTCTTCAGCCTGACCGGTAAGAGGGGCGAAACCAGCAGCTGGTGGAGCGGGGTAGCACAGGAAAACTCGGTCAGACGGACTCAGGCGCGCGGAATCCAGGCTCAGGGTTGGACCTGGTGGGCAACTCAGCAAGCAATTGTGGGGAAACAGCGCGGGAGCAGGGCTGCGGGTTGACTGTGGTTGCGCATCCGTGTGTGGGTAGACAAGCGAGGGAGTGGGCAA